GATTGCAGCCTATTCCTTCCTTCTAGTGTGTCTGCATCCCCCCACATCTTAGTGTCATCAGCAAATTTGAACAGGGTGTTTTTACCCCCTTGTCCAAGTCACTGATGAAGATGTTGAACAGTGTGGGCCCGAGGACCGAGCCCTGCGGAACCCCACTGCCCACGTCCTTCCAGGTCGAGAAGGACCCATCCACCACCACTCTCTGGGTGCGGCCCTCCAGCCAGTTGGCAACCCATTTGACTGTGTAGGTGTTGACACCACAGTCCCCCAGTTTCTTAATGAGAACGGGGTGAGAGACAGTGTCGAAGGCCTTCCGGAAGTCCAGGAAGACTACGTCCACTGCTACCCCTGCGTCTAATACATCTTGGTGTACATAGCTCTGGCAGAGGGAAGAGTAATAAAGCTCTCTCTCTCTCTCTCTCACCCCCCCCCAAAACCCTTGTTCAGTCAACATCATAGCTGATGATCTTGACAGTATTAAATTATTTCCTCAGAACAAGTCATACCCTTTGAAGTACAGCTACTTAAATGAGGACTTCTGTTCAACATATACTCATCCTATGCTATATCTTATCTTTTGCATTTGTAGTAGACAAATATAAATGTGGACATGGAGAACAGATACACACTCAGTCAAAACTTGATCAAGATGCACCATGAAAGATCTCAGTAACCAATGGTGTCAATAGACTTAGAAACACCATTCCAGCTGCATAACTGAGCAGTTGATCAGCATCTTAATGCAGGCTCAGACTTGCTTTAACATGAAACTGCTTGCAAGGTCTGATGAAGGGTTACTTTCTACAATACAAAGACAAGAAAGAACAGCCCCCACAAGCCCAGAGGAAAACACCTCAAAATGTTAACAGTTAATTCCAAACAAAATTAAACAAAAATGCTGAAGGTTAATTCCAAATTAAAAATATAAACATTGCTATTTGAAGTCTGTATTATTTATTGTGCCTGCTTTTGCAATATCAGGTAAGTGAGACAAAAAGATTGGAACAGATAGCTTGCAAGTGGAGGGCATTATCATAAATGCTTATGATAAGATGATGACTACAAACTTAACTTTACAGATGTGTTTGGTTACAAAAGGTCTAGAGGAATGCAGGAAAGAATAAGGGTTTCCCCCTTTTTGAAGCAGTATGAGTGAAACTTGCAGAGGAGTACAATTAAGAATTCATTCAGTGAGCCCATAGCTAGCTGCAGCATCTCTGAAATCAGTTCTCTTAATAAAAGGCTGGTTTACTTTTAGAGTGCTTTCACTCAGCACAGAATATGTAAAAAAAGTATGTCAAAAGTAAGTTGAGCAGGACCATAGCAATACACAGTATGTTATTAATAAGTAACGTTAAAAACAGAACAACAGCATGGAGAAAGATAGTCAGACCACCAGACATGCTAAGTTTCCAGGCAAAAATATTTGTTCCCATGCTTTTGGATGTTGTTTGTATGGACAGAGGAGGCTCCCAAGCACATCTGCTCATGACTCCAGGCCCTCCAACAGAATAGGATTTTTCTTACAATAATGTATCTTTTTATTTGATTGTTTTTAAGTACAGAATTAAAAAACGCTCCAATCTCCACAGTTGGCTCACAGACCTCGTTTGCACGGTCTTAGAAAGTTTTGAGACTTATCTTAGCCCTCTGCTGAGATGGATAGCACAAGGCAACTCTCCTGCTCCCTTCTCTTTCAAACACCTACACCCCAAGGACTTCCTACCTGAAGCCTTGCCAGCAATCCCACTCTGTCTTTAGTTTTTGGGAGTTTTGTAGCCTGGTTATTTAGAAAGTTGGTGCTAGTTTGCCCTCAGAGCAGTTCTCAACCTCTCTAGCAGCTACCCCTTTCCACCTGAGCTTCAGCCTCTTATCTCCAGTTGTGGCTAGTCAGCCAGTTAGCTGCTAAGGATCTCTCTTTCTCCCCTCCCAGGACTTAGTAGGATGAATATATGACAGTCTGTATATAGACCATAGAAGATAGAGATGAGAAGAAGGTGGTAGAGGGTTCTTATAATTTTTTATTCCCCACTGGAAGTGGGAAGAGAGGGAAAAAGGAGAGGCATTATTGCCAGGGATAATAGATTCCACCACATGCAGGTGGAATCAAAATGCTACAATAGCTTAGCATCTCTGAAAGAAGATCTCAGGCAACCCAACAACGTGCTGAGGAGAATGGGGTCAACAGGCAGCAAGAGAGTTACACATTTCAGCAGGCACAGTCTCCTAAGCATTGTCATGTCAGCTAGTGGACCATGGCTGACTTTTAGCAAATGTGGGCTACAACTTAGAAATGGGAACTCTGTCACATCTCCATGCTAGCCAGACACATGGCAAAGCCAATATTGACAGCAAGACCCACATGGAAGGGTTGACCCCACCACAAGGAGCAAGTGCCACAAGAAGTCATGCACCAAGCAGTAATCCTAGGACACTGATGCTCAACCTTTTGACTAGTGGGATGGATAGACAGGGCCTGGCCCCTGCCCAAACTTGGCTGGTGGACCCAGTGCAGTGCTGGGACTCATGCAGCCGTGTGGATGGGGGGGGCAGCCTCTGTATGGGGGAAGGAGGCTTGGTTCAGTCCCAGCCCGGCTCCATGGTGGGAGGGGGCATGACTCAGCCCTAATCCAGCTCCGGGCGGGGGGGGGTGCATAGCCTGATCTAGGCCACATAGGTTCATAGCCTGGCTCTGATCCTCTGCATGGGTTTGGGGTTTTGGCAGCCAGGTGGGGTGGCAGAATTAACTGCCACTGTTCCCCGGCACCACGTTTCCTGACCCTTTGGGAGCCCCACAGGCCAGATCCCAAGGCTCCACGGTCTGCATTTGGCGCAGAGACCGCCTGCCCTAGGATACGTACCACTGCCTCACACCACGAACCGCTTCGTGAATGGGGAGAGCGCCAAGAGGATGCATGCGATGGCCAGGCATGAATCTGCAACAAGTCTAGGAAACAATCTGTGGGGAAAGCCTGAAAGAACCGGAATGGGCTAGTCTGGGGAAGAGAAGACCGCGGTGGGGCTGGACAGCAGTCTTCAAACGCCTGACGGGTGGTTATACGGAGGATGAGCGGCTGCCAGAGGCAGGGCAGGGCGCTGTGGAGTGGGGGAAGCTGAGGCTGGCTGCCGGGCAGCACTCCCACGCTGCCAGCGAGCTGGCGGCCGGACGCTCAGCTCCGCCACCTGCCGCGCGCGGCCCCTTTCTTCCCGCCCGAGGCGGAGCGGGCGCGTAGCTGGAGGGCTCCCCGCCAGGCCCTGCCCCTCGCAGCCTCCGGGCCAGCTGCAAACTAGCGCCGCCCGCCCCTTCCCTCCTCTGCCTCCTCCCGGCGTCAGGCGGTGCGGCGCTGCGCGAGGCGGGGCCGCGCCGAGGGATGGCGGCGGGCCCGGCCTGAGCGGGGC